GGGCGATGTGCGCCGGGACGGCCTGCAGCAGCAGGAGGCCGTGCCGCTTGAGCTGGGGCAGCGCGCCGGCCAGCAGGACCAGCACGGCCGCCAGCGAGAAGGCGGGGTCCAGGTAGACGTAGAGCCGGCAGCCCCCCTCGCTGCGCTGGCCCTGGCAGCCCGGGGTCAGCAGCAGCTGGGTCAGCCCGTTGGCCAGCACCAGCACCGGAGCCAGGAGGCCCCGCGCCGCCCCCAGGACCCAGGGAGCCCCACAGCTCCCGCCGCGCCCCGCCCAGCGCCCTGGCCTCTCGCCTGGCCCGGGCTGCTGTCCTGCAGCGCTGGAATCTGGGGAGAGTGTGGAGAAAAGAACAGCATTAAAATCCTCCACCCTCACTGATGCAGGGCAGGATGAGAAGGGCTCTGCTCCTGCCCCCCAGCTGAGCTGTTCCTGCGCCCTCCTTCCCCCCAGCAGGGCTCTATAGGAAACAGAGATGGGCTGACGGGCGGACGGCGAGGGTTGTGCTGAAAGCGGTTTGTCAAACAGCACACAGGTGGAAGAACGCAGGCAGGGCGGGAGGCACCTTCCTATGATTGGGCTTGAGAGGGGAGAAGACTGATCACTCCATAACAGTGCAAGGAAGCAGGGCTGTCCTGTCTGGAGGCTTCACAACAAGTTAACCACAAGGTCACTCATGTCCCACAGACGAGACAGTGTGTGGTGATGTCGCAGGCGAAGTGATGTGGTTGCCTGCTATGGACTCACAAAACAGCAAGACCTGTGTCCAGGGTCTGTTCAGACTGCACTTACACCAGTACCCCGCAGGTGTCTGAAGTTATGGATGATGTCATTCAGAGTACTCGAATAAATAACAAAGCAGTTATTACTACTTTCTTCGCATACTCCAGTTGACTAGAGCAGCAGTTCTCAGCCCTGGGCCTGGGGCACTACAGTGTCTCCTGGCTTGTGTCCAGCTCAGTTTCTAATTGCTTAGTTCAGTTAATCCCAAATTCACGTTCTTGCTTGATGAGATCTTTTTAACCTGTTTCTGCTTGTTTCAATCTTCCGCTCCAGGAATACTCTGCTTCACGAGTGTGGTTGCAGAGCAATTCAGCACTGAGGTCCAGGCCTGTTCCACTGAGCTTGCTCAGTATGCAGCTCCTGGTCACTAGACAATAAAGGACACCCTGACACTGTGTCAAACACTCCCACGCACGACGCTCCTTCATGTGCAGTGTGAGAGGCTATAGGGGCTTTGCTGTGTTGTCTGGGTGAGACTCTTGCCGCCTGGAGAGCTGGCTCACAGACAAGTGTTTACCGTGCGAGTGTGGGGCACCGGCGGGCTCCCCGCTGTCCCTGTCCAGCTGGCCGCGGGAAACCGGGCTGGGCTGGGCTTTCAGGAGGGTGCAGGAGGCCCCAGGATTGCAGTACAGCAGCAGCTCCAGCGGGGGGAGCTCCAGTGCCGCTCCAGCAGGATTCGGCGGGCACCCAGCGCACTCGGCATCTTCTCCCCCGGTCGCCTCGCTCCTCTGCACCGGGAGCTCAGCCTCGCCTCCTGTGAAGGGAGAGAGCTCAGGCACTAGGTCTGGTGCACACAGTAGAGAGCAGCACACTGGCTCAGTGCACGACAGAGAGCAGCACACTGGCTCAGTGCACGACAGAGAGCAGCACAGTGGCTCAGTGCACGACAGAGAGCAGCACACTGGCTCAG